GTAATTTCATTTGGCTCTTTCAGGACAGACCCCCAAACATCCTTTGGAGGATTTGGGGGAAGGTGCCACTCCTGGCTTTATGTTGGGACTCCTAGTGTGGACAATGGTCAAGGAGAGGCCATCTTGGCCAAAGCTATTTTCATTGACTTTGGGACAGTGACCAAGACCAGTTCCTAAAGTCACCTGGAATAATCTTTGGGGCCAGTCTCCTGCATACCAGGCAGGAGAGGAAGTGTCAGAGTTTAGTCCCACTTTAGACAAATCCTGGGGTTCATTCATTCATTCGCTGCTCAGCATTTCTTGAACACCTGCTGCATGGCGGGAATGGTGCTACAGACAGGTCCAGTGATAATCAGGACACACGCAGCCTCTGCTTCTCTCAGCTGAATTACTGGAGGAGATGGACATCCAACAAATAATTACACAAATAATCCTACTTTGTAATTAATGATAAGGGGCGGAGCCATTCCTTATGTAACTGAACTTCCTCTTGGTGTCTCTCGATCTGAAATACACCCTGATACAGTAATTGACCCTTGAGAAAAGGAAGCAGAGACCAAGGTCCCAGGATGAGATATTCAAATGACATCCACTAATCTCGTGATCATGTACAGGAACTCTGTGCACGGCCCAGGGAAAGTTGCCTGTGGTGGTTGTCTTTGCTTTTAGAGGTCATGTCAGCCTCCACTTTTAGTTTCTGGCAGAGCCTATTCTGGGTTCTTCCTGGGGAAATAGGTGTGGAAAACCAGACTGTTCGTGGTTGTCGTCTTCAGTATCAGGAAGAGGAACTGGAGGTCAGGGCCATGCGTGTATCCCTGGGTCTGGGCAGAGCAGGGTCGAGCACTCCCTCCGGAGCTGCTCTGGCTCCCCAGCACTCAGATTGGTTATTACCTTTGAGTTTTAGACTTTTAGACGTTCTTCATACTGTTTGAAGAAGCTACAATTAACATCTCCCAAGCAGCCCAGCAGAACATGGTTGCTAGGCAGCAGACCTTTAAAGACAATTTGTCATTTTCTGCCGTAAGAGAGAAAAAATAGTAAACATTCACGTTCTTGGAAAAATTACTTGTTTTCCACCTTCCAACTTTCTGGCCCTGGCAAGGCCTTTGGTTCATCAGTGTCTGTTTTATTCTTTATTTAGTTTTCATAAATAATTCAGAGGCGTTTGGGGAGAATAATTGAGCCTTTTTCAAGCTTAACCTCTGGCCATTTGGAACAAAAAGGATGTTTGGGTGGCGGTTGGGTTGCTGTATTTGTGGACAGGTTGTGTATAAATGTACAGAGGCTCCTTTGGAAGGTGCAGGGGACCCAACTGCCCAGCTGTAGGTAATCTCGGGCAGCAACCCAAGAAGGTGGCTTCCGGTCCGTGGAAAGCTCTTGAGCCATTCAGCCTTTGTTTAGCACCTCCCAGGGGCTAGGCCCCCGTGTACACTGTTGGGTTCCAGCCTGTGGCCCGGCCAGACCTCAGTGAGCTAACCAACTTCTTGTGGGGGCTACATGGTAAGAAACCAGGCGATTCCAATACAGGGGCTGTGGGAGGTCAGAGGAAGCCCAGAACCCAGCCTACGATCAGGGAAGGTTTCCCGGAGCAGATGTGGGTGGGACCGAGCCCTCCAAGATAAAATAGGCCGGCACCACTTTGGCAAGAGAGAAGAGCATCCCAGCAGGTTGCTCCTCTGTGCCAAGGGGAAAAAGTGCTCCACAGACTATGTGTATCTGTGTGGCCACAGGGGCTGGTCGGCCCTGCAGCTCAGCCCGAGGGAAGACAGTGGAAAGCCACCCAAGGGCAGGGTGTGGAATTTGCAAAAGCCACCATCTGATTTGCATTTTTCAGCCTTTGGGGAAGCTGATTTGGCTTCTTACGGGCATTGAGCATTGAGCACGTGGCTAAAGGGGGCCAGGGGGCTTGTGGGGGAATGCTGGCTGGCTCCAGAGTTTGTGGCCAGGGATCCTTTGCCACTTCTACCATGTAGGACCTGGTATAGGTTATTTAACTAATCTCAGGTTAGAGTTCCAGAATAGGCATGATGGATGGCAGTATTGGCTTCACAGAGGTGGTGTAGAGACTGCTATTAAATTAATTCCAGAATACCCCTTACACTGCTACCATATCCCACAGTGCTCTTTACCTGTGGGCTGCTGCCGTTATGACAGTGCTCCCCTTCCTGCACTTCCATCAGTTCCCTGCCCAAAAGGGCCACCTGTGTCCAGTCTGCCAGCTGATCCCTGAGTGACCAGGATGAAACATGCACCTCTCTTGGGGCTAGACTCTCTCTCTCTCTTTTTCTCTCCCTCTCCCTCCCTCCTTCCCTCTTTCCCTCTGTCTTCCTCTCCCCCTGTCTTCCTCACCTCCTCTCTTTTCTTCCCTCCCTCCCTGCCTCTCCCCCTCTCTCCTTCCCTCTCCTTCCTGAATCTCTCTGATCCAGTTGAGCCTGGGATCCCTTCTCTCCTGCTGAGTTCTCAACGTCATGCCTGTTCCTAGCTCAGGGCCACCTGTCCCCTGCTTGTGAGGCTTGGCATTCTGGTCTTTAAGACTCCGGCTTGGGTAGGGCACTGGTCCTTGGGCTTCGAGCCCTGCAGACCAGAGGCTGAAAATTGCTCTAGTTAGGTCCCCTTGCTTGGGGAATTCAGCTCTACGTATATCCTTGAGGTACCTTACCTTGTTGATGGGGTTTCAGAAAGCACCGTGGAGGAGCCAGCTGAGGGCCTCAGAACCCCTCGGGTAATTTACCAGAGAGGTCCTTTCATTCATTCATTCCCTTACTCAGCCACTATTTTCTGAGCACCTACTATGTGGCAATCATCATGCCAAGCACTGAGGACGTAGCAGACAGCAGGATTGCTGTGAGGGAGGTGGGGGGAGGTGGCAAAAAATAAGTAAATAAATAACAACAGGAGAATACCAGTTAATTGTTGGGGTGTAAGTGCTGGGAAGCAAGGTAGGTTGACGGAGTAAAAGTGGCTCTGTGGGACACTGGGCACTCCCTGAGTCAGGGTGATCGGGAAAGGAATCCTAAAGGAGATGGTGCTTATATGACAGCCAGGATGAGGGAAGAACAATAGCTTTTAGACTTACCCGTGAGTCTCTGGAGGAGTGCTTAGTGACAGTAGTGAAGGGTTGATTTGTGGGCCGAGATGAGCTGTCCCAGGTGGGAGGCTCCCTGTGGCATCAGAGCGACAAGGTTTTGGCCTGGACCCCACTTGGTTTACCAGGATCGGAGAACTTGAAGGCTGTGATGTGTCCCCTGTGGGTTCAGTTCACCCCACCAGGCCCCATCCTGGCTCCAGAAGGAAATAACCCAGCCCCAGTCCTGCCAGGCTCGGCAGAGGCGTCAGCTAGGGAAGGCCCAAGCCAGGAGACGGGGACTTGCGAAGAACAGCACGGAAGCACCCACTGCCTGAGTTTGTGTTCTTGTATCAGCCGTCTTCACTGCTTGCTAATAAGATATGCAAATTATCAGGGCTGTGAGATCTTCGCCTCATTTCATCTTCTGCTTAATTAGTATTTAATCGTAATCTCATTTTAATTTTTTCACACTGGCACCCTAATTAAATGTTAGGGTGTTAGTCTTAACAATTAAATTATATTGGCAAATAGAGTCTTCAGGAAACTTGACCTTTTCCAAGCCAGGGCCCTCTCTAGCCAGATGCAAATGTTAATTAGATTTCTGCAAGATGCTGCCTTGAGTCCCCTTGGTGCGCCCATTTTGGTTGTTTTCTCCTTGTGTCGTGGCCCTTGATTCAAAGGAGGCAGACACCCACAACCACTGAGTTGGGCCCCTGGCGGGCAGAGGTTAGCATGGAACGGCTTGGTCATGAGCCTCTGGAAGGCCAGTGAAGCTGGTTTTTCTGGGGACGGGGAGATTTGTTGAAGTTTGGTCTGAGCCCTGCAGTGCTCTTGGAAGTGGTTTCTTTTTTTTTTTTTTTTTTTTTTTTTTTTAAAGATTTTATTTATTTATTTGACAGAGATCACAAGTAGGCAGAGAGGCAGGCAGAGCAGAGGCCCCTGGGATCATGACCTGAGCCGAAGGCAGAGGCTTTAACCCACTGAGCCACCCAGGCACCCCTTGGAAGTGTTTTCTTAACTAGTCCTTCTTGTTGGGTGATCTGGAGCTGTCACCGAGACCTGAGGCAGCCCTTTGTGGAGGCCACAGTGAGGTCAGGCAGTGGGGAGAGAGGGACACTGGTGGCAGTTGGGTTGGGCTTGCAGATTGTTCTGGGGTAGGAAGGCGAGGGGATGGTTGGGGACAGACAACACTGGGAAGAGCAACTTCCTCTTGAATGAGCCGTTGCCTGGAAGAACACCGAGCAGGAGGGTGCAGACATTCATGGCCTGGCTCTGAGAAGATCTGGATGGGCTTGACTGAGAAAAAATGCAGCCCTATCCACCTCTGACTCTCACACATAGAGCATGGCCCTGTGTTGCCCCGGCTGAGCAGGGAACATGCTGTCCTTGTTCCTAAGGGACACTGGAGACCCTGACCCATCTGTAAGCTCTGCCGGGGGCTGGCCTCTCCCTCAGCTGTCGACACAAGGTCCTGGCCTTTCCCTTGCCTGGCGTTGGTGCCCTGCACTCCTTCGCACCTCCCCTCGAGCCTCTGTTGGCAATAGGAACATAATTCTAAACCTTCTATAGAAAGGCCCCCAGCAGGCAGTCCCTTAATGGCAGTAATGCCTTCACAGAAGCCTTTCTGCTGTCTGGTTTTGCCCTTAAGTGTTTCCCCTTCCCTCTGAGGTCCACTGCCAGCCGTCATTCAAACTCTGTCCTTTAACACATCAGAACACAGGTGAATTGAGTTCGACATTTACCAAACATCTCCTGTGTGCAGAGCCCTGGGCTGAGTTCAGAGAAGATGGGTCATTGTCATGATTGCCTTCGTGTTGGCTTCTTACTCTGAAGTAAGCGGGCAGAAAGCCCACCTAAGTCGCCTTTGCCTCTTCCTGTCCTGGCTGCGGAGCAGACCCCCCTGAGGCACTCTTTCCTCCCCTCCTCCTGACAGGTCTTCCGGACAGACTTGATCACAGCCATGAAGATCCCAGACTCCTGCCAGCTCAGCCCGGATGACTACTACATCCTAGCGGACCCATGGCGACAGGAATGGGAGAAGGGTGTGCAGGTGCCCGCTGGGGCAGAGGCCATTCCAGAGCCTGTAGTGAGGTAAGCCAGACAGCCCAGGCCAGGGGGCCCTAGACAGAGGAGGCTGAGGCAAGGGACCTTTGTGGCCTGTCTCTAGTCTGTCTTAGATGCCTTGGTCCCCTCAACCACTGAAAAATTCCAGAAATACTGGTAGTCTACCTTTAAGGCAAGGGCCTGGGCTTGGGCTCAGCTCTGGAGCCAGATGGCTTGGGTTCAGATTGCCATTTCCATTCACTGTGACCTTGGGCCAGAAATGTAATCTCCCTGGGCCTCGGTTTCCTTGTCTGTGAAATGGGAGCGGTAACAATACCACTTACTTTGTATGGTGGTCGGGATGACAGGACAGCGACGCATGGGAGACACTTGGCCCAGGGCCTGGCACATACCAGTGCTGGGTAGAAACTGGCCATGCATTAGCTTGATGTCATCCAAGTTGAGTCCCATGAGCGGATCTCATCAGGGAAGTTTCCAGGCGTCTAAATAGTCTCTCAGACAAGGCTAAGCTGTGCTATTGACTTCTTAAACCTTTTTAAGGAGTTGCGAGTGGGAGGGAGTTGAATGCTGGCGCACAGCAGATGCTCAGGAAGCTCTGGCTATGACCATCCTCGAGGATTCCCCAACAGCGCTGGGTCAGGGCTGGGTCAGTGGGTATCCTCTCTAGGCTTTGTAGATTCTGGTCTTGTGGATCAGAGAGACCCCTGGTGTGTCTTGGCCGTGGCCCTTCCTCCAGTGACAGAAGACAGACAAGTGCTGCTTTCTGCACCCTGGAAAACCCCCTAAATCTTGTCTCTGGGCCAAGGGACCTGATGCCCTGGCCTCCCTGGCCCACCAGCACACTAGCAGCCCGGTGGCTCTCGCTTAGGCCCATTTGACCAGGTCTGAGGCAAAGAGTGCAGCCTTCATCACCCTTGACATTGGCACCATTGCTTGCTGGCAGCCACACCTAGAGTGGCTCACAGACCCTCAGGGCCCAGCTGGTGCCAGGTCTGTGCTGGGCACAGGATTACAGGGACAAATCAGACTCTGTACTCTGCCTAGGTGCATTGTGAGGACTGGGTGCTGGGCAGAGCTCGTGCTATGGCTTCTGAGGTCTGAGTGCCTGCCAGCGCTTGGTGTCAGGCTCTCTGAGAATCAGGGGAGCTCTAGGCTTTTCTAGAAGGGAGAACATGGGGAGTTTGTAGAGGGAGTGGATTCTCCACATCCCCTACCTAGGGCCAGAAACAGGGTTTAAGCTCCTAGCCAGTTTCACACCTTCATTTCACCAGACTAAGGAACTGTTATTAACCTATTTGAACCAGTTTCCTCCTCTGTAAAATGGGGCTAATAATAGTAGCTGCCTGATGGTGTGATGGGGACTACAAGAGAATACACATGGCAGGAACCCAGGCAGCAAAGGGGCGGGGCAGGCCAGCAGCTGGGGAGAGAGGTGCTTCCTGATGAGGCTTGGCCCAGCTGTCTGTCCTCCCTCCTTGACGTCAGTGTCAGGTGGTTCCAGAAACATCCAGTGGCCTGGGTAATTAATTGCAAATGCTTCCACACCAGTAGCGTGGCTTCTGCCTGCCAGCTCAGTGCCTTATCTGTTGACAACAAGAACAGAGCACGTGTTCGGGCAGCTCTGGCTCAAGGAGGTGCATTCCCTGGGTATGCACGGCGCCTCTAAGCTGACAGGAGCCAGGCGTCCCTGGCCTGTCCGTGCTCTCTGAAGAGGACAGACTGGAGGCAGGGCAGGCTGTTCTCAAGGAGAAGGCTCCCCTGTCTCCCTCCAGCCCAGTCCCTCCATCTTCCTGGGGACCTCCCACTGAAAGGCCTTTATCTGGAGGCCACTGCAGCTGCCAGCACAGGCAGAATTGTTACAGCCGATCTTCTTGAGAATCTGCTGGGCTGAGCCTATTACGTTCATCTTCTCAGTTAATTATCATACCAGCCCTAAAAGTACATCTTACTGCCCTGATTTGATAGATGAGGAAGCTGGGAAATTCTGGGGAATTCCCTGCGTGACCGCCAGGGCCTCGGGGGCTGGGCCAGGAAATTGCAAGCCCCGGGTTGCCCCTGTGAGGCCCAGAGAGAGCCTGTGCCCCAATCACACTGGCATACTGGCTCTGGCTGCTTTTCCCCCGCTGCTACCCCAGCGCGTTCCAGCTCCCCCTTTTCATCCAGTCTTTCCTGGCCCTGGGGCAGGTCTGCCTACCTCATGGTCTGAAATTTCTCTGGGTAATGAGAACCCGTCTCACCCCCTGATGGCGAACTGAGTGATGGCCTCTGCTGCTCCCTCTCTGTGGCCAGAAGACTCAACCCAGGGCAAAGCCAGCCTCTGGTACAGGTGGCATCTTTTTGGAGTAGACACCCTCCCCCAGGTCCCAGCCCAGCCATCTTCCTGCAGCTGACTTCTGCCCTGCCGGCTACAGCTGAGATGGTGTCCTTAGCCTGGGGTCAGATAAGCCCACGCCTGGGAAGAGACCTTCTGCCAGAGCTAAAGAGGCGTCATGGAGGAAGCTGAGGGCCCCAGGAAGCACAGAAAATGCCTTCTCTGACATGAGCCCCTGAACCCTAGATTCTTCGAGAAGGGAAGGAACGTGATCTTGGCTCCAAGGGGTCTGGCCAGGTGGCAGCTGAGTGACCACACAGGTGTAGCGTGAGGCGAGTAGGTCATGAGGCAAAGCTTAGATCCAGAACCTGATTGAGCCTGCTCTGGGGGCACAAACAAAGCAGAGTCAAGACAAAAGTAATCTATGTTTTTAAAAGAATATATTAATAGCAATAAGACCCTCAGAGGACTTTGTAGGACTGAGAGTATCAGTACTGCATCCATTTGGAATGATCTGTTTTTCAGGAGGATTGGGGAAGTCACACCATTAGTGGTTACCTGAGGCTTCCTTCATCTGGGCCTCCCACGTGGGACAGGGTGGAGCCAAGCACTTTCCCTTGCTCCTTGCGCCCTTCAACCTCCTCCAACCCTCCCCTCCTGGTCTGCAAGCCGTTTTTGCTTCCCTTTCTCCTCCATCCTTCTTGCCCCTCTGGCTGACACATGCCAACTCCTGGAGTCCAGGAGTCCTCCCCACAGCTCAGCCACGTCTCTGTGCCACCATGCCTTCCCCTCCCCAGTCTGCACTGAGTCCCAGCCCCTGGCAGCCCTGCCTTCGACCCCAGGAGGCCTCTCGGGCAAGTGAGGGGCCTCTCAGCCCTGGTAGGGCTGGCCAGATGGAAACCAGGCTCCGCAGCGATAACCATGGCAACCGGTGGGGGGTGGGAAGAGCTGGCATTTTGAACTGGCATCGGGAACTCAGGGGCAGCACACAGCTGAGCCAAGAGGGGAAACTGGGCCCTCCCAAGGCAAAAAGCCCTCCTATTCCATTTCAGAAGGAGGAAAGTGATATCCAGAGGACTTAAAATACGCACTCAAGCACCTGTAGGGCTTGCTGTGTGCCAGGCACTGTTCTCAGAGCTTTACACATATCCGTCCATTTAACCCCTGCCAGCCATAGAAGGTAAGTACTGTTACTGCTCGGTTACTTTTTTGGATGAGGTCACTGGGCCTAGAGAAGTTAAGCAGCTTGCCCAGATCGCACACTGAGTGGTAGGTCAGGGGGTGCCTGGCAGGCTCAGTCGGTAGAGCATGTGACTCTTATCTTGGGGTCTCAAGGTCGAGCCCCACATTGGGGCTAGGGTTTACTTAAAAGAAAATAGCGGATCAGGACTTTGAGTCCACATTCTGCAGCTAGGACCCTTCCCAGCTGCCTCAGGGAGAGACATGGCCCAGGGGAGGGCCGCACTGGAGTGTGGTCCTGGGAATGTAGTAGGCATATCTTTCTGTCCAGGGGAGGAGGCCTCCATCTTGCACTGAGGGTGGGGGCACCACTGTGAGAGACTGACGGCTCAGGTTATATCGTATCTGGGGAGGGAGACCTTTTCTGTGGAGAGGGCCATCCTGCACTGCAATACTGTACCCCCCAGGTAAGGCACCTTCTCACTCTAGAGGAGGCCTAGCCTCACGTCGTCCCCTTGTGGAGATGTGGGGACAATCCTTGGCCTCCCACCCAGCCTTGAGGGGTATATGCTAAAGGACCTGAAGCCTTACTGACTCTACCCCACTTCTCCCAAAGTGCCTGGCATAGAGCATTGCCCAGGAGAGCACATGGACTGCCTGTTGGATAGCCCCAGGCAGGGCAGATCTAGCTGAGCCCAGATGCCCTCATGAGAGGATCAGGAGAGGTGTGCTATGGGCAGGATGGATGTTTACGGGATGTGCAGGACAGTGGGTCAGCACCCACTCCCAATCCACATTCTGTCCTTTGGTCTCCTCTCCTGCTTATCCATAGTCCTTGGAGTCTCTGCAGGTGGGCAGGCAGGACAAGGTAGTATTAGGAGGTGACCTCAAAGTCTCGAACTTCACTTGCCCACCAGCTCCTCAACTGGGCTGGCCAACTCACTGGATGTCCCCAGACCCAGTGAGGGTGGCAGGCTGAGGGTCCCTCCCCTTATGTTACCCTCTCTTGATTTCCTAGGATCCTCCCGCCGCTGGAAGGCCCCCCTACCCAGGTGTCCCCTAGCTGCTCTGAACTTGGCGAGGGCTCCCAGCCTGATTGGCCTGGGGGCAGCCGCTATGACCTGGACGAGATTGATGCCTACTGGCTGGAGCTCATCAACTCGGAGCTCAAGGAGATGGGTAGGTGACCTGCCAGGCTGAGAGCGGGATTGGGGCAGGCCAGGCAGAGTTTTCTTCCAAATGGCAGCATTCTCACCCTCAGAAGGGCAGTGCCCACTACGAGGCTTTGGCGCTGCATGGATATGAGAGAAAGTCCCTACCACATTACTGATCGGAGAACTTGTTTGTGGTCTCTGTTCCTCATGTGCTCTAGCTGTCAGGTGGGAACAATAATGGCCTGTCATTTGCAGAGTTCTTGAGGATATTATCGGTAAGCCTGTTACGCAGAGATTAAGTGAGCACATAAGTGAGGCTAGGATGATAGATGGGGTGTGGGGTCAGTTAGTAGGGGCCTCCTGGCTGGAGCCCACCAACATGTCCTAGGATGGTCCCCCCCCATATATGCAGCTCAGGCAGTGGATTGCCCATGCATGCAGCTGCATCCCAGAGATCCTTCCATGTTGTCCACATGTACACACATGTGTGGTCACAAGCAGGCTGTCTAAAGTCAGAAGAGCAGGACCAGCCCCCAGGGGTGTGTGATATTGAACAGTCCAGCCCATCCCGTTTCCAGATGATGGCGCTGAGGCCCATGACAGTGGATGCGTTTTCCCAGGTCATACAGCGGACAAGTGGAGCCCCCTCCATACACCTGTCCTGACAACCCAGGCTCTTAACACCGTCCCCTGCTGTCCTCACAGAGAGGCCAGAGCTGGACGAGCTGACGCTGGAGCGTGTGCTAGAGGAGCTGGAGACCCTGTGCCACCAGAATATGGTACGGGCCATCGAGACTCAGGAGGGGCTGGGCATCGAGTATGATGAGGACGTTGTCTGTGACGTGTGCCGCTCTCCCGAGGGCGAAGATGGCAACGAGATGGTCTTCTGTGACAAATGCAACGTCTGCGTGCACCAGGTGGGCAGCCCCTCTGCCCCACCCCCATCCTCGCCCGCTGCCAGCAACTGGTCATCCTGGTCCTTGCTGGAGGGACGCCAGAGACCCACGGCTGCAGGCCCCCAGAAAGCAGGACGAGGGAGGAGGAAGGGAATGGAGTGAGTGCCCCAGGGCTCAGTGCTGTCCCCAGACTTGAGTAAATGCCCGCTGGGTGGTCTTTCCATCCTTTTCCTGGGGGCCTTGCTCCAACTCTCTGCCCTGAACTTCCTGACCCCCTGCTCCTCCTCCCCTCCGGCCTGAACTGAGGAAGAGGCTTCACAATGCCGTGATAGAAAGCAAAGCCTGGAGCTAGGCTGCCTGATTGCAAATTGTGGCCTTGTCCTTTACAATCTCTGTGACCTTGGGTAATATCTTAATCTCTCTGGGCCTTTGCTTCCTGAACTCTAAATAAAAATAAGTCGTTGGGAGGATTCAGTTATTCCTAGGAGTTCTTTGCTTAGAACAGTATAGTACAGGCTACAAGTATTTACTACTGCTGATCTTACAAACCAGGTGTGTTGCCAGACATGCTCTCCCTCTTCATCTTGAACCCAAACCTCCCAGGTTTTAGGCATCTCTGGGCCTTACTTGCAGAAGACTTGACTGGAACCTAGTGGACCCACGCTAGCCCTGACTTGAACACACACTACTCCTTAGCCATTGCTGCTGGAAGAGCTCCTGGGGAGCTCAGAGGCAGTGGACCCCTCATTCATTCATGTCCCTTATATGTAGTAGCTCATAGGTTCATAAGCCCTAGGCATACTAGAAGGAGCCCCCTTCACAAATCTCTGAACAAAGAAGAATGCTCAAGGCCTTGTCCTCAGGCAGCATACAAACCCAAATTTGTGTCCAACTTCTAGGAGCTCATGGACACTTCTGAAGTCCAACACTTACTAGGAACCTCTGACCAAGATGACTTTCCTCCCAACAGAGGTCAGAGCTGAGCCCTTCTGCAGAGGACTGGAGTCTTGGCCTTAGAATCCGTCCAGAGGCCTCCTTGCCAGAGCCTGCTAGCAGTGGGGTTCTGTAGCTCCTCACATGGGCTGGCCGGGGGCTGTTTGCAGCTGACTCCCCACCAGATGTAGATGGTGACCACCCTGCTCTCTCCCCAGGCATGCTACGGGATCCTCAAGGTGCCCACGGGCAGCTGGCTGTGCCGGACATGTGCCCTGGGTGTCCAGCCAAAGTGCCTGCTCTGCCCCAAGCGAGGAGGAGCCTTGAAGCCCACCAGAAGCGGGACCAAGTGGGTGCACGTCAGCTGCGCGCTGTGGATTCCTGAGGTGGGCAGATCGGGGCAGGGGGCGGCCCTGGGGAAGTGGAGCATAGAACTCAGGGAGCAGAGCACTGAGAAAGAAGCAGTCTTCTGTAAAAAGGGGTGTCTCATGTGGCACCTGAGAGGAACTGGGGCAGTAACCCGTAGAGAGCTTTGCCTTTGGACTTGGGTAGAGCTCAGGTGGTGGTTTCCATGGGTAGGTGGGATTGTGGGCCTGGGGGACCCAGGGGGTGGGTCTGAGAGCCGAGCAGAAGTCAGGCAGCAGAGCAGAGGGGAAAGTGTGTTGTGGATCCCTCGAAATCCAGGCAGTGGTTCCAGCCAACATCAGGCTCCTTGCTTAAAACAAAAATAAGCCAGCTGACCTAAAAGGAGATCAGGCAGTCTGGCAGAGAGCTAATTAGAAGTGGATGGTGGGCCTGCTACCACGGCTGTGGCTCGGATGGAGGAGTTGGCCTGGGTCTGAGTCTATGTGGTGGGGGACCATGGGTGACAGGCCAGGCCCACTGTGACTTAGTGAGTCACCAGAGCACTGAGCCCCTGGAAGGTCATCTTGTTTTATTTGAAATAGGAAATGCTGACATTCACCAGAGTTTCTGCCCCAGCCCTGCTGTGTGCCCCAACTCGGAATATGGCCCCTCCGTTGCTGCCTGTGCCTGTAAGCAATCCAGGTGGCCCTTTCAGCCCCTTCTTGGGCTTCAGTCTGAAGGCTCTCACAGGGACCCCCACTGTCGGCTTGTGTGGTGATTGTGGTTGTGTTGACAGTGGTATCTTGCTCCCAGAGCAGCTCTTCAGAGCTGGGACTACCTCTGAGTGGGCCCTGGGCTGGGCACTACAGAGACAGAACTAGCAAGAGCTCTTCCTCACCATGGGGGCCCTGTGGTTCAGGATCTCTGGACAGGAGCCTTTCTGCCGTCTTAGGCATGGACAGTGGGGAGGCAGATGGATTCCCTGGGGCTGAGGGGTGGGCTGTGCCCAGGAGAGTTAAATAATGGTTGTTGGCTTGTCCCCGTAGGAGGGACAGGCAGGACTAAACAAAGGCACATCCCCAGTGCCCAGGCAAGCCCTGGAGGAGAAGAGATGCTGCCTTGAGGCCTTAGTTGCTACCCAGAAATGTAAACTAAATAAACACATGTTCTAATAAGAACTCCAAAGGTGCTAGTACGGAAGGGGTGACATACAGAAGCCAGGGGGATGCTGCATATACTCACCTGTGTGTGCGTCTGCATGCACGCACATGCGTGCGCACGCACACACACATACACACACACACACACACACACACACATTCTGCAGCCTCCCTGCCTCAAGGCCCACACCGCCACGGGCACGTACACACACTCAGCTACACGGACTGATGTGCACTCTCGTACATAGTCACAAACAACTTAAGACTAGTCACAGGTGAGCAAACACTAGTTTACTTACTTCCTGGTCAGCTTGGGATTCGGGCTGTCGCACTGCCCTGTGTGCCCACTGCCTGGTTTTGGCAGATAGCTCCCTTCTGGGGGATCACTAGAGGCAAGCTGGGGAGGAGAGGCCTGATGCAGCTCCCTGTCTCCTGCCCAGGTCAGCATTGGGTGCCCAGAGAAGATGGAGCCCATCACCAAGATCTCGCATATCCCCGCCAGCCGCTGGGCTCTGTCCTGCAACCTTTGCAAGGAGTGCACGGGCACCTGCATCCAGGTACGAGGTCCTTCACCCCGTGGCTGTCCAGGGACTTCTGACATCAAACGTAACACGTGGGAGGGGCAGGAAACACTCCTCCTCCAGCTGAGCTAACAGGCTCTCCCCATGCAGGGCCAGGCTATGGCAGTCTGTCCATAGCAGGGGGTCCCAAATTCTGGCATGCAGCAGTATTATCTGGGGGGCTTGTTAAGACAGAATTGCTGGGCCTATCCCCCGGGGTCCTGATTCAGTAGATCTGGAATGGGCTGAGAATTTGCTTTTCTAGCAAGTTCCCAGATGATGTGATGCTGCTGGTTTTGGGGTTGGAAAATGGGGGTTCATTTTTTGTCCTCATTTTCCTAGCAACAGTTGTCATTGCAGACACTGGATGTACTTCCACCCATTTTTAAGACTTTCAAAATGACTTGTGCATGCAACATAAAGGTTCATTAATAGTTGGGTGGGTATTGCTAAAACGTTTATGAGCGGCCCACAGCCATCTTCCAAGGCTAGGGAGAGTAGCAGACCCTGAGTTGGCCCCAGCTGTCTGGGCAAGAGAAGGAAGGGGGCCACTTCCAGCCCCTCTTCCCAGAGGACAAAGGAAACGCACAACTCCCCATTTTAGTTCATGCTGTGGAAGGGAGGCCATGACCGACCATCACCAGCCTCTTTATTCTAATTCCTCTTGTTCCAAAGTCGTTTTACCCACACAGTCATGCAGCTTATCCTCAAGGGTTGTCAAATCACCTGACTGTTCATTTCCCTAGAATATGTATGGTGCTGAACCCCATTTCAGGCTCCCCTAGAACTCCCCCTTCCCATTTACCAGAGCTCCTTCCATATCCACAGGATGTTGGGCGTCCGTGCCACTTTAGGTCGGATCTCACCAGGAGCCTGGATTCTCAGGAACCTCTTCCCTCCTCTCAGGGCTCCCCTTGTGCCTGACACTTCCCCTCCTCTCCCTCCAGTGTTCCATGCCTTCCTGCGTCACAGCGTTCCACGTCACATGCGCCTTTGACCATGGCCTGGAAATGCGGACTATCTTAGCAGACAACGACGAGGTCAAATTCAAGTCGTTCTGCCAGGAGCACAGTGACGGGGGCCCCAGGGGGGAGCCCACTTCCGACCCCGCGGAGCCCAGCCCGGCTGGCGAGGACCTGGAGAAGGTGACCGTGCGCAAACAGCGGCTGCAGCAACTGGAGGAAGACTTCTACGAGCTGGTGGAGCCGGCCGAGGTGGCTGAGCGGCTGGAGCTGGCTGAGGCGCTGGTGGACTTCATCTACCAGTACTGGAAGCTAAAGAGGAAAGCCAACGCCAACCAGCCGCTACTGACCCCCAAGACCGACGAGGTGGACAACCTGGCCCAGCAGGAGCAGGATGTCCTCTACCGCCGCCTCAAGCTCTTCACACACCTGCGGCAGGACTTGGAGAGGGTGAGTGGCCCCGGCTCTGGCCCCCTGGCCAGCCTGCCTACCCAGGGGATGTCCTGGGAGCCTTTCCACCCCGTGCACTCTGCCTTGCAGCAGCCACGGCTCTCCAGGACTCAAACGGTGCGCTCTGGCCGAGGGACTGAGGGCCTCTGGTTCTGTAACAGGGCGGGGCTGTCTGCTGCGTGGCAGAAGAGGGGAGCATCTGGCCCTTGGGTCTCTGAGCCCCTCTTGTCCCTACCTTTTTATAGGTGAAGGGTTGGGGGCCCTGCCAGGGTCCTGCAGCTAGAGGGCATCAGAGCTGGACCATAGCCCAGGCTTCCAGCTTCTGCTGGCCTCTGTCCCCATTTGTGGCCTCTGTGAGCCATGCCTATTCCCAGCACATGAGCTTCTGCTTGGGATCCGAGGCCAGGGAGGAACTGGGAGTCATAGCAGTTTGGATCAACCCGACAAACACGTGCTGGGCCAGGGCAGGGAAGACAGGTGTTAATGTGGGGTGCAGGGCCATGCAGGTGGGCCGAGACATAGTGGCCTGTGTGGAGAGAAGAAGGGAGCTCAGTGGATGGGCCATGATGTGTGTGGAAACTGTGGAATATTTTAAGCAGGGACTGTCCCTCTCTGGCTGCAACTTCCAAACGCTCACCCTGGTGAAGGAATTGTGGGGCCTGCAGCAGATGGGTGGCCCAAACCCCCCAGCTGTGTCCTGGGAGACAGGGCGTCTGGGCATGGTGCAAGGTGGTAGTCCTGGGAGCTGAGTCACATGAGGAGACACATGGCTTCTGGGTGAGCTGTGGTGGTTGAAGGGTAGTGAGAGTTGCTTTCCTGGAGCAGTGGAGGCCCCCCAAAGCTTCAATTCCCTTCTACTCCCCCAGAAAAGAGGTGAGGAGTTTCCACCTTCTTTGGGGAAGTCCTCGAACTCGACTCTTCTTTCCCACTGTGTTACCTCCAGTGCTACCACCAGGTTGGAGGCAACCCAAGGATGAAACAGGATGGTCTCTGAACCATCCTGGTGCTGTTCCAGCCCCTCGTCTTTGGGACATTCAGTCCGAGGGTTCCAGAGCACGTGAGATCATGTCACAGTGTCTTCCATGTGTGGCACAGAGACACATGCCTATCCTTGCCCCAGGTCTTGTTAGGAGACAGCCCTGTGTGGACACGTTCAGGGGGCTTTGTGTGACCTGAGGCAGCTGCTTATCTTAGGTCCATCTCTGTTGGCAAGTCTATAAAATGGGTAGAACAACTTGGCAGGTGTTCTGCTATATTGGGGAAAACGTGAGATGGAGATGCTGAAACTGGGCCCGGTTTGCCCTATCTCCATCAGCCTCATCCTCTCCCCGGAGCGCCAGTCAAGGGGAAACGACCCGCTGGCCTGGGAGGGGGTTTACTGCCTGGTAGCTGGCCTGGCAGAAGAGGCAGGTGGAGAGTGGGGACAACTGATGTCCCTGGCTCCAGCCAGGCCAGAGGGCAAGGCCATCTACGTTGTAGCCGCCACTTCCTGAGCAGCCCAGTGTCCTGCCTCATGTGGCAGTGGCATCAAGTATATGAGGACATGGAGTACTTTCAGAGACCAGAGCTGCCTCCAGAGTTGTCCTCGGGCCACCCCTGAGTCCGCACCCTCCAGGGCTCCAGCGCTCACACCTTGCTTTTACTCCTGCTGTTTCCCAGATGACCCCTCAGGTCTGACCTCCCTAGGGTCTGTGCTGGTCAGCCCACAGTCTGGCTCCAGCTGGGCAGTGTAGGAGAAGCCAGGAGGCAGGTGACTTATTTAATCATCATCCTGGAAAAAGAGACAAAGTAATTCCTGCTGGCCCTAATGAGCAGATGAGAAAGCTAGGGGTCTGGAAGGGTCTGGAAGATGAATGACAGGGAGCCTTTGAGGAAAGTGTGTTTTCTAGGGTATGACTTGAATTTGGACCTGAATGGGGGGGAGGGGTGGGAGGTTTGTTGTAAGGAGAGCTGTTGCCTTAACCTCCTGTTCTCTACACTTCCTGAGCAAAAGCATCCTTTTTTTTTTTTTTTAAAGATTTTATTTATTTATTCAAGAGAGAGACAGTGAGAGAGAGCATGAGCGAGGAGAAGGTCAGAGGGAGAAGCAGACTCCCCATGGAGCTGGGAGCCCGATGCGGGACTCGATCCCAGGACTCCGAGATCATGACCTGAGCCGGAGGCAGTCGTCCAACCAACTGAGCCACCCAGGCGTCCCGATCCTTTTTTTTTTTTTTTTTTTTAAGATTTTATTTATTTATTTGACAGAGATCACAAGTAGGCAGAGAGGCAGGCAGAGAGAGAGAAAGGAGGAAGCAGGCTCCCTGCTGAGCAGAGAGCCCGATGTGGGGCTCGATCCCAGGACCCTGGGATCATGACCTGAGCCGAAAGCAAAGGCTTTAACCCACTGAGCCACCCAGGCGCCCCCAAAAGCATCCTTTTATCAATCCCCCCAACCTCTGGACCTGTCAGCTGGTATAGCTGTGGCCAGGAGCCAAGGTCAAGGGCTAGGATGCCAGAAGGTTCCCAGGCAACCAGAGCTGCCATGCAGACACCTTTGGGAAAGGGACAGAGCCCTCCAAAGTCAGGTGTGAATCTGCTTACTCTTCCTTCAGGAAGAGGGAGCAGGGCTGACTTTTCAGGGCTTGGGAGGGCCCCCATCAAAATGCTTGTCCAGCAGCCCCCGAGCTGAACTGGCGGGCACCAGCTGAGAACAAAGTGAGGGAGTGCACAGCCTTGGCCGGCCAAGGAGAGACTGCCAGACTGACCCCTCCGGGTCTAGCCTTGGGGCCTTTCACAGCCATGCATTGGTGGCTTGTGTGAGTGAGCAGGGCTGAGAGCTCTGCCACGGGGGGACGCTTTTTGTGGAGACCCATGACTGTTGGTGGCCTGGCCATGGCCCATTGCCAACGGCCGAAAGGAGCCAGCCTCTGACTGGGCACCAGGCCAGCTTGGGGGCCAGATGCATCAGGGACCAGGGTTGGGGTGGAGATGGAAGCCTTGGGCAGCCTGGTTTTGCATCCAGTTCCGGCATTTCCCAGCTGTGTGTCTTCTGAGTTTCAGTTTCCTTTCTGTAAAATGGGAATAAGGAGCCAACTGACCTTGGTGTCACAGCGAAGGTGGGAGCACAGTGACCTCTGCTGTCCACCATGGTTATAGTTGCTGTCTGGCTCTTAGAAGAGTGGGCTGCTTGGAGAGGAGCCCCGTGGAGGACTGAGCACACAGGCCCGGTGCAAGGACCTGGGGAGGAATCACAGAGCATACTCCCTGATCGCCGTGTCCCCCAAGGCCAGGCAGGGGTTTTGCTGAGAGAAGCAGAAGCCAGGGCCGCCACTAGCCTGAAGTCCCATTTTATGGTTGGCTTGGAAGATGTGTGTTACTAAAATCTCAGCCGCAGGCCGTGGCCCCAGCGGGCTGCTCAGGAAGGCACGGCCGCTGTGGGCTCCCAGAGTTATTCACAGCTGACAAAAAAATCGCAGCGCTGATGAGCAGCCTGTCAACGCCGCCTGGTGTCCCCTAGCAACCATGCCAGCGGCTTGGGCTGCATGGGGCTCCATGCCTGTGGCTCTGGGTCTGGTTACCTGGAGTTTGCTTAAGAACATGACCTGGCTTGGGAAAGAGGGGAGAGCTCTCAGACACATGCCCCCCTCCCTGAGGAAAGACCTGTGGGATCTCCCCAAGGCCACACTTCTGATACTCTCCCACACTCGCCACCCACCCACTTCCTTGTCAGGTCAGTCATACCCCATCTCCTCTGTCCTCAGTACCCGCACTTGTTCTCGTTGGCCTCCCACCAAAGCCTGCCTTGTGCCCCAGAACTATAGCCCCTCAACCCCTCTATCGCCCATCTCTAGCACATTGCCAACCCACTCATGTCCTCACTCCACTGAAACCTGGTCACCCCCTCACCCCGCTGCCCCATCAGTAACCCTGCAACCTCCAATCCCCCTACTTGCCCACAGCCTCCTGTCTCCCTGCTCCGTTCTGCAGCACCCCCTTGGCTGTCCCCCGTTTTCTTTAGCCCCACCCCATTTGGCTTGCTGCTCATGCCCTTGCCACTGTGTGAAGGCCACATACCTGGCAGAGGCCCACCTATTAGCAATCCCATTGTGCTGAGCAGCAGGTAAGCCTCACCGAGGTTCGTGTCAGCCAGCCTTGTTCTGTGATGTTCTGGGCTCCCCAGCCCAAACACTCCTCATCTGCACCCCTATTTCATCTTACTCCGGCCTCCCCCTTCTCAGCCCTCAACCTCACTTCCTGTGCCTCAGACAAGAAGCAGCCCTCCAACTTCTGGCCCGTGGAGCCCTCTGTCGGTTCTCTTCCCTTTCTCCTTATCCCCCCTTCCCACAGTGCGCATCCTGCAGCACAGGAGTCGTCCTTTTCTTTAGGCCCACTCAGTCTCCAGGATTTGAGTCTGTTTCACCTTCTCTCATCTCTGAAAACACATCCTCCCTCCCCATTGTCCCTCTAGTCCTGGGACCCCCATCCTCATCCTCCCTTTCCTGTCTTCCCTCACTGCTCTTAATTCCTTTCCTTGCTTCCCACTCTGGCCAGGCTCCTGCCACCACCATATTCCATAACTATCCACCAAGGCTACCAATAGCTTCCACCTTCCATCTTCTCGTGGCCTCTACACCATCCTCATCCTCCAGCATTCTTAGCCATGGTAGCCACTGTCAGACATACCTTTGGTCTTAAAATATGTTTCTTTTGGATACTCTGACCACATCTTCCCTTAATACCCTTATTCTCCTGCTTCCTGTGAATACTCCTTGGCCCCAGGGATCATCAGTTCACCACACCCAGGGGGACTTCTCAGTGCTCTGCTCCATGGCTCTGCTCCCCCTCAGGAGGCTGGTCCAGCCCACACCTCCCTTCTGGGCTCCAGCATCTCATGCCCAGCACACCCAGGTCCAAGCCTGCTCCCCCCACAACCTCCCTAGTCTCCACAGATGCCTCAGCACTAGTCTAGTCTAGCTCAATATAACTGGCCAGGAGCCTTCCCTGCCCCTCCCCTCTCCTCACCCGTACTCAGGTTCATTCTGTAAAATTTGCTGATAACTGCAACAATTTCATCAAAATAGAAAGGCTGTTTTTATGACCAGTCCCTAGTTTGGGGGGACTTTGCTACTTGGTTGATTTTTTTTCATTCTGATTTTTTTTTTAAGATTTTATTTATTTGACAGAGACCACAAGTAGGCAGAGAGGCAGGTGGAGTGGGGGGGGAAGGAGGCTCCCAGCTGAGCAGAGAGCCCAATGCAGGGCTCGATCCCAGGACCCTGAGATCATGACCTGAGCCAAAGGCAGAGGCTTTAACCCACTGAGCCACCCAGGCGCCCCTCTGATTTTTTTTAAAGATTTTATTTATTTATTTGGGGGTTGGAGAATAGCTGGGGATGGGGAGAGGGAAAGGAAGAAGCAGGCTCCCTGCTGATCAAGGAGCTCCATGTGGGGCTCAATCCCAGGACCCTGAGATGATAACCTGATCTAACATCAGACACTTAACCAGATTGAGCCACCTAAGCACCCCTCACTCCCACTTTTTTCTAAGAGAACTTTTTATGTTTATAATAAAAAAAAAAAAAACCAGTAATGACAGTGTAAGGAACTTGATAGGTCGGATGAGCTTCTACGGTATCAATATTTGGTCCCCAAAAGCCCTCACAGAAGAGGAATGCTCCATTCGGTAAAATTAAGTATGGAACCAACAAACGGGTTTTTTTGTTTGTTTGTTTGTTTGTTTGTTTGTTTTTAACCAACAGTCTTTTTTTTTTTTTAAGATTTTATTTATTTATTTGACAGACAGAGATCACAAGTAGGCAGAGAGGCAGGCAGAGAGAGGGAGAAGCAGGCTCCCTGCCAAGCAGAGAGCCCGATGTGGGGCTCGATTCCAGAACCCTGGGATCATGACCTGAGCCGAAGGCAGAGGCTTTAACCCACTGAGCCACCCAGGCGCCCCTTAACCAACAGTCTTGAGAGAAATTAGAGAATTAGTTGGTGATTCCAGGGTGAGGGGGCAGCAGGGAGTCCCATCCTGACCAGTGTGTAGGCATTGTTGAGATTCTCACAGGAAGAAGCATTCCTGTCTTCTACAGCGAGAGCCTCCAGGTATCACTGATTGTGTAGTGTACCTTATCAAGAGAAAAACTCAGCATTTACCTACAATATATTATACTTTTACATGTCTCGTTCATATCTACCACTGTATATTAAGAAGCAGACATAATCAGAATTTCTCACAGGATCAGAAATACTCTGGTAGGGACTCTTGGCTGGCTCCATCGGTAGAGTGTGCGACTCAGGGTTGGGAGTTCCAGCCCCACGCTGGGTATGGAGGTCACTTAAAAATAAAATCTTAAAAACACACACACACACACACACACACACACACACACACACACACTCACACCAGTAGATATTTTAATGTCTTTTTCCTATACTGTGATGAACTAACTCAGTAGCCTGTGCAGCTCACTTTGGAGGCGCTTGGCTGAGGGTAGTAATTTTCAGATTAGGTAGTGCTATATAAAATGTGTATTAGAGGACCCAACCCCCAGAGACTTTGCTATTCTCCCAAGCCTGGGAATCTGTGTGGGTTTTTGTTTGTTTGTTTGTATAAGTATGCTGCACACCTAGTGTGGAACCCAACACGGGGCTTGAACTCACAACCCCAAGACCAACACCTGAGCTGAGATCAAGTCAGATACTTAAATGACTGAGGCCACCCAGGCTCCCCACTAGGAATCCGTGGGGGTTTTTTTGTTTTTGCTTTTAATATTTTATTTATCCACTTGACAGAAAGAGAGAGAAAGCACGAGCAGGGGAAGCTGCAGGCAGAGGCAGAGGGAGAAGCAGACTCCTGGTGTAGCTGGGATCCTGATGTGGGACTCAGTCTCAGGACCCTGGGATCACAGCCTGAGCTGAAGGCAGACACTTAACCAACTGAGCTACACAGGTGCCTTGGGAATCCGTGTTTTTAACCAGCTACCCAAGGGATCTTGATGCTGGTAATTCATTTGGGTTTGCCTTAAGAAACCCTTTTGTAAAAGATAAAAGACCCAAAAAAGTCTGTATTTTAATAGGAAGTTCTTAAGTGTTGGTTTCTTTGAGAGGGACATCTGCAGTTCTGAGCCTCAGGTCATCTTTAGAAGTTAGTGTTAGAGTAAAGTTTGAGAATGACATATTTGGTAAATTTTTTTAAAGCCATACCTTGACTGATCTCTTTTAGGTTGAACGTGTTGACTGGTTTGTTTTCAGGCCTCCAAAGTATCCATGAATCTGTCTACCTTTCTTCATCCCCAATGTCCCCATGCACACTAGGCCGTGTGACTGCCAGGAGGGAAACGGACTAGGATACAGGGAGAATAATGTTGGGTTGCTTGGATGCAGTGGACAAGGAAGGTCTTTTGGAGGTGACATTTGAGCCAGGACCTGAAGGACAAGGTCTAGCCTTGGAAAGAGCCTCAAATATATACAAAGGCCCCAAGGAAGAAAGGGGTTGGACACAGAAAGGACAAGACTGGAGGGCTGTGGGACATGGGCTGTGAGGTGCCTGGGGGAGGTCAGATTGGGCAAGGCTTTGGACTTGGTTCTGATTTTTTTTTTTTTTTTCTTAAGTGTCATAGGAAGCTGTGTTCATTTCCTAGGCCTTCTATAACGGAGCATTACAAACTTGAAGCCTTAACAAAAATGCGTTTTCTTATAGTTCTAAAGACTCCCAAGTCCAGGATCAGGGTGTTGTCAAGGTTGATTCTGTCTAGAGACTCTGAGGGAGGATCTGTTCCAGGCCTCTCTCCTGGCTTTTGATTCCCAGCAATGCTTAGCATTTCTTGAATTGTAGACCCCTGATTCCATCTCTCCCTATGTTGTCACGTGGCATGCTTTCTATACTTCTTCACATGGTCTTCACGTGGCCTTTTATAGGAATACCAGTCACTAGGTTTAGGGTTCATTCATATCCGGTATGACCTCATCTTAGCTGATCATATCTGAGATTCCACGTGAACGTAAAATTTGGCAAGGGGCACTGTTCATCCTGGTAGGAAAACCAGTGGGGGTGTTAAGGGGAGGGGGATTTTACATTTCAAGAAGACGGTCTGAGATAGCTGAAGGTCAGGATGCCTGCCTGTCCTGGTGGAGTTGATATGGTGACCAGAAGTGGAGGGAGCTAATAGGAATGAGGTTCACTAGGGACTAATGGGGCGTGCTGATGGACTGGCTCTGGGGGCAGGTGAGGAGGAGCTAGGTCCTGAAGGGTGACTCCAGGGTTTCAGCACTTATACCCCCCCCCCCCCGCCCCAGCAAAGTCCCTCCTCAGATCCCCTCAGCCTGGCTCAGTCGGGTAAAGCCTGGCACGCTAGCCACAAGGTCTCACCCTGCCTCTCCCCTGTCTGGCCTTGTGTGCCCTTGTGCATGATCATCTCTCACTTGGCCTGGCTTCCCCTTTGTTCAAGAAGCCTTCTCACCACCCCAGGTCTGGATCAGGGTTGCCTTGTCCTGTTAATACTTGCTCTATATCTCTCTGCCCTGCTAGGCAGGAAGCCCTCAGAAGAAAGGGATCTCCCCAATGGCACTGTGCACCGCTGAACCCAGGGCCCAACGCCACCTGAGTTCCCAGAGCCACAGCTGGTGTTCAGGGATATGTGGCTACGAGGAGGTCCTGAGGAAGTCCAGGGTTTGAGAGGAAGCAAGGGCTCTTAGGCAGGGACAGGTGGCTGCCCCCTTAGGGAGGTATGGGCCATGGATGGCCTGTGTCCAGGGTCTAGACTGGGTGCACTTAGCAGTATGGAGTGCTGTTTGGAGTTCCTGCAGAGCCTGGCATTTCTGGGATCTCTTCCACTGCTAGCTTCAGGAAGGAAGGGGAGGATGCCCATGTCTGCAGAGGGGTGTGATCACAGCTGTCCCCCAGGCCAGAAGAAATGCAGGTCATGACAAAAGCAAGGACTCTTGAACCCACAGGTCACCCCTAGGCAGCTCAAGGACATGAAGCCTGAACTCGGCTTTGAAGGCAGAACCCAGCCACAGACAGAGAGACTATCCTGGTGGAACCCAGAATTCCAGCTCACAGCTTCTGGCCAGCTGTCCCTGCTTTGAGGCTCCACCCTGAGCTGAACACGATGCTGGAACAAGGAAATGTCTTGACGGAGGGGGCCTGGTTTTGGCCCCAGAAGTGTGCTCCATTCTGAGAGCAGCAATGAGGGGATGGCATGCTGGAGAAGGGTGCCAGGTGGACAGGGAACAACATGGCCCAGGCTTCAGGTGTTTTCAGAACAGCTGCAGAAGTGGGTCTGTGTCCCATGAGCTAAGCAAACTGGTCTCCCAGGCACTCAACACTCTTCCTAGCTGACCGAAGGGAGTTGGAGAGGCCCCTACCCTCCCTCCTGAGGACATATCCATGTGGACTAGGGGCCTTGGCCAGAGCAGGCGTGAGCTTGGCTTGGGTCCTAGTGCAGCAAGTGGACATGGCTTGGCCACAGCAGAACCCTGCTGGGTCAGAAGCTGTTCTGCTGGAGGTGTCACTGCTCTGTGTCCTAGGACAGGAGTTGGGTTTGTGATGGGGCTTATGGCTGAGGAATGTCTTGGAAAAAGAGGCCTTGGACAGGAGGCAGAGGGATGGACCTGGTGACCTTGCCAGGTCCCAGTGAGCCTTGGGGCACTGTGTAAATAGGAGAGGGCAGCCACACTGGAAAGGCCTTGAGGGGCAGCTTGGCAGACTGGGCCAGGAAATGGTGGCCAGGAGGAGGTGGGGGGTGTCACCAGATGATCTCCCTGCGTCCCTTCCTGACTCTGGCTCAGTGGGGGCCACAGGATCAAGGCTCCGCTCCGCCTGTGTTTTGGACCAGAGAACTGTGGCTCAGGACACACTCGGGGCTTGGGAACTGATTCCCAGATGTCCTGGGCAGAGTAGGCAGCAGTGGCCCCCCAGAGCAGGGAGGTCAGGGGTGACCACCCGTGAGTAAAGTGGCAAACCTCTCTCTTGTCTCCTCAGGTTAGAAATCTGTGCTACATGGTGACGAGGCGCGAAAGGACGAAGCATGCCATCTGCAAACTCCAGGAGCAGATATTCCACCTGCAGATGAAACTGATTGAACAGGACCTGTGTCGAGGTGGGTGCCTTCCATGCCATCTGTCAGCCCCTGCTCAGTGTGCACACTATCAGGGGGCCACAGCCCAGGGAGGGTGTGTGTTCAGGGCCTGTACATGTACAGGGGCATGTACAAGGAGCCCGGGGCTGCTGGCCCATACATGGACTGTCCATAACCAACTAGTAGACTGAGATGGGACTGCCCAGGGCCCTCTTGTGTGTTGACTGACAAGGAGCCAGAGCTGGGAATGTAGGCTTCGGGCCAGGGAGCTTTCTGGTCCACTGGGAACACCTAAGTACTTCCAGGGCCATCATGGTTCTGGAGTGGACGGCATGTCAACAGTGGCTCTAGGCTGGTGTTGGGGCAGGACGGGCGGAAGCTAGTGAGCTTCCCTGAACCCGTGTGCCTCCGTGTGGATCCTGAATCAGGCAGCTGCTCCAGAGATGGAAGAGAACCTGTGTGTTCTTACCCTCTGACCTCATCTGATAGAATTTAGACACTGTATCAGCAGGGTTTTTTCTTTATTTTCTTCAACTGTTGCTGTGACATGCGCTCAACAGATCTGGAAATCAAGGCCAAAGAAGCTTCAACATTGCTGCTGTCTCTTAGTTGTGTGGATACTGCCAGACACAGGGCCCTTCCCATAGTGTGTGCATCTTAAGGAGGGCAATGCTTCACTCAAAAAAGGGCTCTTTAATGTTGGAAAACATGTAGCCAGATGGAGAGAGATTTTGAGCCAGGAGCTGCCGCTGCTGGGCCACCCTCAGAGCAAGCCCCTGGTACCGCCCTGTCCTCACCCCAGCCAAGCTGCCTGCTGTGTCCTTTGGGATCACGACCCACTCGGGCCTAAGAAACCTTAACCCTGCCAAATACAAGTCCTGGTTCAGGCTGGGTCGAGTGCACACAGAGGTCAGACCTTACTGTGCTTCCCCAGGACTGGCAGCTTCCTGGCAGCCCGAGCTTTCCAGGCTCCCTCTTATCTGTTGATTTTTTGCAGCAAGCGTGAACTGAGTGTAGACAGTATGCCAGGCTCTGTGCTGGGCACCGTGGGGCACATTGCCATGGACTGAATGGATAGAGTCCCTGTCCTTGTGGAGCCTCTCATCTGGAAAGGTAAAGGAGAGTGGTGCCCGAGGGGCTGCAGCTGGCGCCAGTGCAGAGACAGAGTATCAGGGATGGCTTCACAGCAGTGGTGATTCTGGAAACACATCAGGCTTCCTGGGATCTCACTGCAGCCATGCATTTGGCTGCAGACGGAGAGCCCTACCATCAGGGCGACAGAAAGTGGCAGGGCATGTAGTAGCCTCAGGTACAGGATTCTAGAATTCCAAAAACCTGGTCAAGAGCCAGGGTCCTGTCCCTGTGTTGAGTCTGGGCACTTTTACAGCTCCTAGACCTGAGCGGCGGCAGCAGGCAGCCCTTTGTTCAGAGCAGGCCATTTGGAGGGAGACAGATTTGCCCCTACCTGACTGATGCCCCTGGGGTTTTGACATTCGGCCCCTGGGACAGAACATGGCTACCACCAGCAGATTGTTGAGGCCTGTCTGGCCAAACGGCTGGAGAAGGCTTCCCACAGTAGTGGCGTTTATGCCGTGAGCTGAACCGGGTGGAGGGCAGGACGGTTTGGAATCCTAGAAGCCAAAGCCTGCCTTTTTAGAGAAACTGGAAGGAGGCTGGCCTAGCAGCCACTGGGACAAAAGGACAATATCTCAAATGAGGTTTGGGGGTTGATGGGGTCAGAAATGCAAAGTCTTGTGGTCTCAAAGATCTCAGACTTTCCCGAGGGAAGCTTCAAAGTCTCCAAATTACGCCGGCACAGGTCCCACCTCAGAGATGAGGCTTTTGAGGCCCATCTAGAGGTTGCGCCGGCAATTAGCAACAGAGCTGGGAAGACTGCATATCCCTCAACCTCATTGTGAAGCTTTATCTGGAAACCGCGCCAGCCTCTGGCTAAAAAGCTAGGAGATTTCTGGCAACTGGGCCTCTCCCTACAGATGTCCTCCCCTGTTCCAGTATTCTCAGGGGCTCCCTAGACCTGTGTGGTCAGGTATCAAAAGGATATGAGGGCCAGATGTGCACCCCTAGTCTGCCATCTATTGAGTGACCTCAAGAGCAGATCAGGAAACCAGGGAGGAGACTTGCTCAAGGGCCTGACTAGAACCCATGTCTCTCAACTCCTCAGTTCCTCCACCCCATCTTGCCTGGCTCCTCGGCCTGGCCTTGAAGGCCCTGTCCTGGCTACTCAACTTGGCCTTCCTGCCTGTCCTGGCTGTTCAACTTCTTCCCCCACTGACCAGGACTCCCTCCACATCTATAGGCCTGTAGGTCAGCTTGAATTCCAGGTCCTCCAGGGTGTCCTCCACCCTCTTTGTGGTCCTTGGGCCCTCCCCAAGCTGCTCAAGGGCAGGAGTAGGCAGTGACCTCTCTCTTTCCCACCAGCTGTCCCTGACTCACTGGAGCCCCACTTACCCTAGGCGCCCATGGCTCTGAGCCCGGGGCCCATCAGCAGGGCAAGGTGACCTGGAAGGTGAGTGAGGCTCAGGTGAGCGAGGACTCCTAGGACGGTTTTGACTGAGCTGCTCCGGGTAACCACTTCCCTCCTGCTCTTTCTTTCCCTGGCACAGAGGGGTCTGGGAGGAGAGCAAAGGGCAAGAAGAGCGACTCGAAAAAGAAAGGCCGCGAGGGCCCAAAGGGCAGCCCTGAGAAGAAAGAGAAAGTGAAAGCGGGGCCTGACTCAGTCCTGGGGCAGCTGGGTGAGTGAGTGGCCACACTGGCCTGGCAGACATGGCCAGGCTTACACCATTACTCCATTTGTAGCCCCCAACCTAAGGCCAGCAGGATCTCCCAGCACCTCTGTTGCACCAAGTAGGAAGGCCAAAGGGCTAACCAGGCCCTTCCATACTCAGGGGCTCACACCTTTTAGCCATAAGGGAAACCAGGTAGGGTCTCAAGAGTCCTGCCTGGCATCCCAAGAAATTCCCCTTTTGTAGACCTGGAGACTAGGCCGGCGGCTCAGGAGCTCACACGCACATTCCACCTGCCAGTCTTGGATGCCAGATTTTTCTGGAGGCCCTCAAGGGATCCGGTAGGCCATCTAGGCCCTTCCAGAATGCAGCCCTATGCTGGGAGATGAGGGTCTGCCAGAATTCTCCATCCTGGTCCCACTCTGCTGGAATTTCTCCAATGAGCCTTCCCTCCAGCACCAGGGAGCCTTCCTGGAGCCACCCAGAGAGACCCAAAGGAGATGCCACAGGTACTGGCCCAGCCCATCGTCACTCACAGACTCCTTACTGCAGCTGCATTAAGCAGAACAGCTCTTGAATGTCCCCCGGCTCTGGGCTCTGTCTCCCGGGGTGTCATATGCTTCCCCAGAACACTTTTTAGGGATGGCTGTGGCATCTTCCAGACCTCATCTCCAGCAGGGAGGCCTCAGGTCATCTTGTCTTTCCATCAGTCTCAAGAAGGGGACCACTTGGGTATCAAAAGGAAGGCCCAGGACCACCTGCCGCCCCAGACCCGCAAGAGGGAATTTCGATCCAGAAGCACTTGGCTACTCTATTCACGCCTGACATACTGATCCAGCTTCTCTGCTTTGGAAGGAGCTCTTATGAAACCCAGCGCCCCCTGGTGGCTTGAGGGCGTTTCCCTTCATTCCTCCATCTCCTGCTTCCCTGGGGATGGGGGTGGTGGGCAGAGCTGGCTTCACGGGTGTGTATTTGTGCATTCTCAAAGGGCTCTTGCTTGGTTTAATGTTCTGCTGTTGTCGCCTTGAAATATCTCAATAATTTTTGAACAGGGAGCCCGCATTTTCCCTTTGCATTCTGCACCACAAATCATGAAGCCAGTTCTGGGAGTAGGTTGATCTCGGGGAGAGGGGTATATGCTGTGGCCTCTCCTCTTCGGTGGTGTTGGCGGGAGGGATCTGCAAATCCAGACAGCTCAGTGTGGTCTGGCACAGAGTGAGGGAGGGAGGCAGGTGGCCTGCTGGGGAGGGTCTGAGAGGGCTTCCTGAGAGAGGGTACAACCCACACCTGCAAGCGTCTCACTTGCCTCCTCTTTCCCCTTGGCCAGGCCTGTCCACCTCTTTCCCCATCGATGGCACCTTCTTCAACAGCTGGCTGGCTCAGTCAGTACAGATCACGGCGGAGAACATGGCCATGAGCGAGTGGTCACTGAACCACGGGCACCGTGAAGACCCCGCTCCAGGGCTGCTGTCAGAGGAGCTGCTGCAAGATGAGGAGACACTGCTGAGCTTCATGCGGGACCCATCACTGCGCCCTGGGGACCCTGCCAGGAAAGCCCGGGGCCGCACCCGCCTGCCTGCCAAGAAGAAGCCACCACAGGATGGGCCTGGCTCACGGACGATTCCAGACAAATCCCCCAAGAAGCCCTGGGGCCAGGATGCGGGTTCCGGCAAGGGGGGGCAAGGGCCAGTGGCCCGGAAAGCAACACGGCGAACGCCTTCCCACCTGCCATCTAGCCCTGCAGCTGGGGACTGTCCCATCCCAGCAGCCCCCGAGAGCCCCCCTCTGGTCCCCGAGACCCCGGACGAGGCAGTCCCAATGGCTGCTGACTCGAATGTCCAAGTGCCTGGCCCTCCAGTGAGCCCCAAGCCCTTGGGCCGGCTCCGGCTGCCCCGTGAAAACAAGGGAACCCGGAGATCGCCAGGTGCCAGGCCTGATGCTGCGACAGGACCGCCCTCTGCTGTGGCCGAGAGGCCCAAGGTCAGCCTACACTTTGACACTGAGACTGATGGCTACTTCTCTGATGGGGAGATGAGCGACTCAGATGTGGAAGCTGAGGACAGTGGGGTGCAGCAGGCTCCCCGGGAAGCAGGGGCTGAGGAGGTGGTCCGCATGGGGGTACTGGCCTCCTAAGTCACCCCTACCCCATCCTGGGCCCTGCCCTGGTCCTCCCATGAGGCCTCAGCCCAGTCACAACTGCCATTTCCTATCTCTGCTGAGTGTCTCAGACCCTTGAGACTGCCACTCTGTTGTGGTTTTATTTTTAATATAGAGAGAGTTTTGAATTCCACACTGTTGTCTTTCCTCTGTGCTGGCCTAGGACAGTAGGATTCCTTCCACGGCTCTGGCCGCAAGGACCATCGCAGGTCCTGGGCACTGTCCCTGCCTTGGCAGCGCCCCGCCCTGGCCCGCACAGCCTCGCCGGGCTCCTGGCTAGATATAGGCAAGGTGGGGAAGAGCCTAGGACTCCAGCCCGCTGCCACTGGGTGACACAGACCGTCGTTTGGGCATTATTTCATGGCAGATGGGCCAGCCCAGGGCCTGCCCCGCCTTGCCCCCAAATCCTACTGGGGTCCATTTGGGGGGTCCTGCTGCACTCCACTGATCCCCGAGGAAGTCTAATAAGTGATACCCAGCCAGAGTCTACTCACTGTCACAAGCACAACGAGCTTATACAAGAAAGCACTGAGGGGGCGCAGAGGGCCCGCTGGTTCCAGAGGAACCACAGCTGTTCCTGATCAACCCACATCATCTGAGGCCTGCCCGCCCACCCCGCGACCCTCCTCTCCCTTGCTGCTCCACCCCTGCCAGTGCCCAGCCCGGCGGCTCGGAGAAAGGGTTCCTGGAACTCTTCCTGAGCTGTGCCATTTACTCAGGGGACTCCCAAACAGCCAGCCGCCAGTGCCGGTGGAGGGCTGCAAGGGAGGGCCAGTGCCCAGACAGGGGTGTGGGGCTCAGCCTCCCCCACTTAGAGAATTGCTCTGGGGCTCCAACTTCCTTCCTTCCTTCGGGGCCAGTCTCGGCCCAAGTCTGGTCACTCCCAGACAACTGACCTGACCAGACCAGACCGTTTGCCTTTTCAAATTTTCCAGTCCAGCTAAGAGACGAGCTTCTTCCTCAGTTTCCTTTTGGAAACTCCTCCTTCCAACAAGCAGTGGGATCCCGGGGCCTGGGATAGGGTTCAAGTCTTGCTGAATGTTCCTGGTTCCTCTATTCCTATGAGCCGTGACCCCCTCTCCTGGCTATGCCTTCCCTCCCCACCACCGACCCGCCTGCCACCTTTTCCGTTCCACCCTCTAGGTCCCAGGTAGTTGCTCTGAAGAGTTTCAGTGGAGAGGCCCCAGGGTGATAGCTCAGGGAACAAACAAACAAGGAATTCAGTGAAAACATGGCTTTTTTTCTTTCATGAATTACTCCTGGGTCACTTCCGCCACTGGTGAAGCTAGAACTTCTCCAACAAGAACCTTGCAAAAGTCCAGTGAATCAGTCGAATCATTCTATGGATGCCAAAGAATATTTTGACCATAACACAGCACAGCCTGGACCTGACAACTTGTCACTTGGACTTTTTTTTTTTTCTTTTAATGGAGTTCTTTAGCAACAAAGTGTAGAGATGTGTTCATTGCACACACCCAAGGAGACGAGCCTGAGCTCTTGGAAACGGATGCTGTTCTGCTGCTGCTCAACTGTTCAAATTGGGAAGCGGGACCTAGCATTGGATTTCAGGTCCGGGGCTGGGTCCAACGTGAGCTTTCCCAAACTCAGACTCACAGAGGGGGCGAAGAATCCTGACCGCAAAACCAGCGTGGCAAAAGTCTTTACCATGTGGTTCCCCTGACACAGATACACAACCTGCAAATCAGCGGGATGGGGAGCAGCTTGACCACCCACCCCTGACTCCGGAACTTTCAAGGTACGACAGCGGCATTGTCATCGACACTCCGTTTCATGTGGGAATTTTAGCAAAATAGGAAGCAAAGATAGGACTCCGTTCAGAAGATCAGGCAAATTGGTCCAGGTGGAATGGATTCAGGACAGGCTTCCAGGATTCTGGGCATTGGGGTGGCACAAGGTACCATGTAGAGTTGAGTCGGCCTGCCTCCTTGGCAGTCACGGCCAGTGCAGTGTCCGCACCGGCGCTCCAATCCCTGTTCTCTGTTTACTGCCTTTGAACAGCCCTCCTTCCCCGTGCTTTGGGTCACAATCTTGTCTGTACTGGATTGCCCGGTCTGACCTCGCAGGAAGCCAGGGGACGAGCTTAAAGAACAACCAAACTCTGCCGGGGGTGGGGGTGGGGTGTCAGGAATGGCTCAGGCCCAGCAGACTCAGCACTTGCCCCCTCACCCATTCATGGGTTCCAAGGCAGAGTCTGGGCTCCCGGGGGGCAGGAGAGAACTGGGCAGAGAATGTAGCGTGGCTGGCCAGGGTCTGGTCTGGGTAGGCCAGGCAGGGGGCAGCCAGCTCTCTTTGGGGGGCCTCTGCCCAGGTTGGCCTCTTGATTTTCTTCTGTGTTGGCTTTTGACTTTGGACTGGACTCTCCCTGGGGCCATGTCCTGCACAGGGATCTATCTGTTCGGCCAGCTGGTGAGGGAAGTAGGGGGCCTTCACTCCTAGGCCAGGCCCTAGAGCTATTCTTGCCGGGCAGCTGTCCACCTTTAGGGCACCCAGCAAGACTACGCAGAGGTCAAGGATGCTGGTCCCCACCACTGTCATTTCCTCCATTAGCCACAGCCCCTTCACTCTCTCTCTGGTCTACTGCTCACCATGTGGACAGCTTTGCCACCCCTGGTGTTGAGCTCGGAAGCAGGGAAGAAAGCAGGAGGCCTTTTGCAGGCCATAGGCCGAGGCAGAGCCCATGCTTGACCACATCTGTCCCCACTCACTGGCCCTCTTCTGGGAGGGAGAAGCTGCTCTGTTACTCATTCTGTCATTCCCCATTTTCCCAGTCCAGGCTGCACAGCTCCACCTTCCCCCTTTTCACAGTGAGAAAAGGATAAGTTGCAAGGAAAGTATTTTTATGGATCATAAATGTATTTTAAAGTGACTAAGGAGAAGAAAGGTAGAAGGCTTTATTTTATTAAATGAGCTCTCTGACTTTGTGACAGTGTGTGAGCGTTTGTAATATGAGGGTCTCGATTTCCTTCGAGAAGCCCCCGAGGTTTCCACACGTGGGTGCCGGGCTATAGGTGTGTGCGTCTGTGCCAGGGCACATCTTCTGTGTCCTTGTGCATGCGTGTTTGTGTGTCATGTATGGGCACGTTGTGGGACTGGCTGGGGCAATTTCTAGAGAATCACCTGTGTGCTACTAACAGACGTTGGCAGCAGCCAAACTTGGCATTTCCTTGCTCATGGCCAGATGTGGCCAGCCTCTGCCCACGCCCAGAGCTCTGCAGAATGGTCCGGATGCCTGTCACAAGGCCCTTGGGGAGGCCACTTCCCACACCCCTGGCCCAGCTGGCCACATTGGCCAAAGAGCCAGGGCTGGAGTCTGGGACTTTTGGTTGTTCTTTAAGGCACTTCCTGCCACCTTGTCCCTCAGACACACAAAACACTCTGTGCTCCGCAAACGACTCGGGGTGGGGGGATGATATGAATGTCACAGGAGGCGACACCTTCTGTCCTTGTTTCAAAGAAAGTGATGTGCCATTTGTTAATATACAAGAGAAATATTGAAAATATATTGAAAAGAGCAATTTTAAATTATTTTTGGCTTATGTTGCAATATTTATTTTCTTGTATTAGAAAAGATTCCTTTGTAGAGAAAAAATGTATTTTTCATTAACGCAAAGACCTATTTCTCCTTTTTGTACATTGTCCACGTTCGCTCCCCTTAACGAGCAATAGAATGTATGGCCGCCTCGCCGCGGCCAGTGCCCGCGTGCCCTGCATGATTCCGTGTTGCCGCTGCTGCGTAGCTCCCACTCCCATCCTGTCCTGCTCACTCATGGGGCTTTCTGGACCCGGGCTCCCACCAGGGCCAGTGTCTCAAGGAGCCCTTTGCACTCCTCGTGTGTTGGCAAACGCAGTTAATAAAGCAATGTTTTCTGTGCCGGCTGGTGTGAGGCTCTGTTGCACCGAGGGGGCGAGGGGTGCATACCCTACAGCCAGCAGAGGCTTGGTGCTCAAGGGCAGTGCTCAGGAGTCCTGTAGTGATGCTCCGACCGCATCTGGGGCTGTGCTCAAGGGCAGTGTTTGCTCCTCACTATCGGCATCCACCGGGATTCGGGTGAGGGAGGTTCCCAGAGCCACAGCTGTGATGGGAGGCAGAATTCCACATCACTGGCAGGATTCCCGCACTTGTCCCACCCTGCTGTGGGCCACCTACGCAGGACACTGGGAAGGTTTGCAGAGCACCTCGGGCACCTGTCCCTCCATCAGGGAAGGTGTCGGCCCAGGTTTGTTTCTCATTCCTGATTGCCTGAGCACCTGCTCGGTGCCGGGCTCTAGAAGGTGTTAGGAGCGTAGCCACAATCCCTGCTCCAGGGCAGCTCACTGTCCAGCAGGGACACAGATGATGAGTGGACAGGGAGTTACAGAGGCCTGGGCCAATTGGGGGATGGGAGGAGTTCAGGACAGGTTTCCCTGAAGAAGGGATATCAATCACTCCTTCACCAGTGAATCTTGTCATTCTGCCGGCATGCTGGGTTGGATACCAAACATCACCAGGAGACTGCCATCCTAGAATTTCCAGTGGAGACCTGAAGAATAAATGGTTGCTTGGTCAAGGGCAGCGGGGTAGAAGGAAGGGCCAACAGCATTCCTGAAAAGGCTAGGGCATGTGCAAAGATGCATCAAACTATGCAGAGTAGGAAGGGATCTTGAACCTCCTCTGAGAGCCCTAGGTGGGCAGGAAGCGGTAGAATTGAGACTCAAGGAACCTAGCTTCTGCAGCCACCGACTCAGTTTCCTGCCAGCAAGAATTGCCCCATTGTGTCACTGGTGCAATAGGCAGTAGCCCCCAAGGCTACCTCCAGATCCAAGGTCTGTGGCCACTGCACAGAAGGCATGGGAAGTGAACCTGGGGCTTCTGATTAGCCAGCCCAGCTGTCACAGGGGCCAGCTGCCCTGGGCTCGCCCCCAGCACCCCATCCTCTCGGTTCTCCCTCCGCTGGCACCATGCCACGCCCACTTGGCCACCTTGGTCCAGAAGAGTGACGCAGGGGCCCTGCTGCCAGACTGCCAGACCCACACCTCAAAGCTGACCCAGCTGCTACACGGGCCAGAGAGGCCAAGACACCTGTGGGTCTAAAGCAGCAGTGTTTGGTAGACATCAAGTGCAAGCACACATGTAATTCCGGTAGCCGCACATTTTTAAAAGTGAAAACAAACACGTAAGATGGAATTATAATAATTTTATTTAACCTATCATCCAAATATAAGCACTTCAACATGTAGATCATATAAAACAATTGCTAATGAGATATTTTACATTCTTCTGCAGGCCAGTGTGTTTTCTGCATTTACAGCACGCCTCAGTTTGGTAGACAAGCCACCTTTCGAGCTCAATGGCCATGTGGCTAGTACCTACTCTTTTTTGGGCATTATAGGCCTAGAGGCCATCGGCTGCCTCCTGGATTGCTTTGGATTGACCCAGGCTTGTGGGGAGTGAGGGACAGACAGGCAGCCATTGGGAATCCTTGGCCCCCTTCCACAGGGGAAGGCAGAGGAGTAGACCTGGCCCTAGTTCCCAGCCAAATCCCTCTGGGGTCCCTTTCTGCACCCACTCAAGTCCACATGACTGCTTCACGGCAGGGGTCTCACAGCTGGCTGGGGCTCCTAGGCCTTTGCCCCTGCGGCTGCCTCTGCTGTCTCTGTCCCTGAGAACAGGACAGGACGAGTGTGGACTGAGCTGTTCCCAGCTCCCTTGTGGAGGGCCAGTTCTCTCCCAGTATCTCCCAGGAGGGGTGTGGCATTCATCCACCCTTCTATCTTGCCTGCACCGAATCCATACTCGCTGAACACCTGCTACTGGGCCCTGAGGACATTAGGATGACCATATACCTGTAGGAAGAGACCAGGCCAGTGTGGGAGACACCTTAATCATGTGATCCCAGAGCAGTGTCCATTACTCACTAAGACCATCCTGTGAGAACCTCCCTTGTTCTCACCAAATTTCTGCAAGGGTAGGGTATGGGGCGCCATCTGCTGCCTGTCGGGCCCAAGCACAGATGCCTCCAGCAACGAGTCTCAACGACCCCAGGAACAGGCCCAACCATGCAGTCCCTAGTCTCAGGAGTCCAGACCTCCTCCCCAAGACACCGATGCCCCCATCCATGGCCCTTCATGAGCCAGCACGGAAAAGGATCTTCTTTATCAGCCTTCAGGATAAGGGACCAGAGGGCTCCTGAGAAGCTAAGGCATTGGTTTAGCCTATGGGGTTCCCACACTGGGTAGGGTGGGTGGACCGAGGATTTCCAGGCCCTGCTATCTCATAACTCCTAAAGCAAGGGATGCAATCAATGGGTTGGAGAGGGAGTGCTCCACAGTCCCAGAGATGGCTTTGGTCCCTCTCACTGCACCCCTGTGCGTCTGCTTCAGCCACCCACTCTTCATTCCCCTGATGAGAAGCACAGGCAGGACATGGGGTTTCATGATCACCATTTGGGGGTTGCCTGATAAAAAAAGAAATCCTGAAATAGGGATTTTAGGGCAGCTTTCTGGGCTTCAGGCAGAGTCACTGCCTAGAGTCAAAGAGAGCGAGGCAAGGATGGGGGCTCAGTCAAGCAGGTGACTTAGGGATAAGCTTAGTGAACCAGGATTGGGCTTGACACCCTGTGCTCCAATCCAAGCCTGGAGTTCAGAAGCATCCACATCATCTATTCTTGGGGAAGCTGGGTCGGGAGGCAAAGGTCCTGGTCCTGGCTTGTGAGGGAAATCCTCAGTGGGTTCGGAGGTGAGGTTGCCAGATATAGCAAATGACAGTACTGGAGCCACAGTGAAATTAGAATTTCAATAAATACTGAATAATTCTTTAGTACAACTATGTACCAAATATTGCATCCTGGATTTTCCCTGGCAATCGTAGCAGGAGCCTCATGTTCTCCACTATATCATGGCCCGGGCAGAGGGGTGGCACTGGCAAGTGATTTTCCATGGTGTATAAGACTGGAGCAGATCCCAGACTGTCTCCACAACTCCAAAATGCTCACCCCTGAAGTTCAAGAGCAATGGAAAGGGGGCTGCAGCCAGTAGCCAGGACACACAGAACCCAAGATGGGCCTGCCCCCATTTCATCTCACATCCCAACCTAAGGCTGAATGGAACTCCATCCTGGAAGGAACCCTTCTCCCTAGAGCTGTTTGAGGCCCACTGGCCATTTATTACCGACGCAGGTGAGTGTCTAAAACGCTTCTGTTGGCTACAGTACTAATAGCCAAGAGGTGGAAGCAACCCACATGTCCATCAGTGGATGAATGGATAAGGAAATGGTGTCAGATCCATGCAATGGAGTGTTACCTGGTCTTGAATTGAAAGCAAATTCTGACACGAACACTGAACACATGTTGCTAAGTAAGTGAAGTAAGCAATCACAAAAAAGACACATCCTACACCATCGGTCTTATATGAGGTATCTAAGTAGTTGGACTGGTAGAAACAGGAAGTAGGGTGGCGGGTGCCAGGGGCTAGGGGCAGAGGAGGTGGGAGCTGTTCAGCAGGTGCATGAGCTAGGATGGAAAGAGGAGTTAACTTGGATCAGAGGGCTTCAAGCTCTCAACAGAAAGGAGGAGGGGAAGGGACGACAGCAGGGAAAGAATGTGTCTGTTTTGGAGAACAAGCAGCTCCCACCAAGGAGATTAGGGCCAGGTGTTCCACTGGATAACCAGCGGCATGAGCCAGTTTGAGCCGGACTGTTGCTGAGGCCTTCAAGAGAAGCCCCCTAAGTTGCCCTGAAGTTACCTTTAGCTCATTATAATTCTAAGATCTCCTGGGCGGGAGGCGGTGGGGGCGGGTTCAGCCATTTTTTAACAACACCGTGTATGCACAGCGCCTTGACAGGCTGAGCTCAGCATGCGCAATTGATCCGAAGTGCTTAAGTAACAAAATACGGGTGAGTTCCTTAATGGGTCGGGCTCCATGCCCCTGTTCTGAAGCGTACTGAATAAACGCCACTGTATTAACCCTAAGAGGAGGCAGTGCTTCGAGAGCTATCTCCCTGTCTCCTTACTTACGACAAGTAATAAACACTCTTTGCTTCCAACACTTCCTTGGGTGGTGTTCAATTTGATGCACCCCAAGCAGCAAACCCCTTGAGTTCAGTTGCTGGTGTAGAGGCAGGATAGGGCATTCTGGGGATCTGGTGCTCAGCAGTGTGCATATGGTTAACAGCACTGTACTTTACACTTAGAAGTGGTATGTGGGAGTGCCTGGATGGCTCATTCAGTTGAGCAGCTGCCTTTGGCTGAGGTCATGATCCCAGGATCCTGGGATCCAGCCCCACGTTGTTAGGCTCCCTGCTCCGGAGCCTGCTTCTCCTTCTCCGTCTCTTTCCTCACACTCCCTAATACATAGATACATACATACATAAAAGAAGTTGCTACGTGTATTTTATACTATGTGTTTTTTCACCCCAGTTAAAAAAAAATACTATGGGTCAGGGGTGAAATCCCTGCTACATTCAATAAGGTACATTCAATAAGGTTGTTGCTTTACTGCAACAACAAACAAAATGTTAAGCTAAAAGAAGCCATTCTAAAAAAAAAAAAAAAAAGTTGATATTGGGGCCTCTGCCTTTCCTGGGGCACCCGACTCCTGTAGGTCCCCCAACTCAAAGCTTAAACTCAAGGCTTCTTGCTGCAGAAATGGAATCTGGGGGATTTGGGGGTAATGGAGAATTAAGGGCTGGTATTTTGGTCCTTCTGGGCCTCAATTCCTTCATTTGTTAAATGAGGATGACAGTTCCTGCTGAGCCCCCATGCAGGGCAGCTGGGAGGTGTTAAGGGGACACAGACATGAGGTAGGCAAAATGAGGACTCTGCCAAGGTGGAAGAGGAGGGGAAGAGGAGGTTTGGGCAGAGAACAGCTCTGGGCTGGTGGACTAACCAGAGGTGAG